AGTGGTACAGCGGTATGTCTGCGGACTTACAAAGCTAGAATCTGGGTTTCATTACCCATTGTGGGCAGAGCACAGATAGCTCATTGTGTAGCTTTGTGCTTAAATTAAAAAACAAACAAAAAAGCAAGTTATTAACGAATTAATTTGTTTCGTTCTTTTCGAGTGAAAGCCACAATCCTTCAAAAAAAAAGTTTTCTATTCATTTTCAGAGTCTAATAAATACGGAGTATCGTTTAGTCTCTTAACAAATATTTGTAAGGTTTATATGCTTGAAATATGTCACACCTGTTCTGAGTTTATAATCAACTTAAATTTGTTTTCTGTTTCAGAACCAAGCGAGGATATATCTCCGGCCATAATGGACAGTAGACCAAAGGTTACCGTAAAAGTTAAAGAGACTGCGCTCATTCCTTGCGCTGGACAAGGCCATCCACCTCCACAACATACTTGGTACCGCGAAAAAGGATCGGAATGGATTCTGGCCACTTCATGGCCCCGAGCTCGACAAGTGGAAGGGACTTTATGGGTAGATGACGTACAGATTGAAGATGAAGGACACTATCATTGTGTAATAAATAATACCTTAGGCAAAAAAGCCGTTCAAACGATATTAACAGTATCAGGTTCGTGTAACCTTCATTGCAAGTTACGTGAGATAACTGGATGCCTTGGAATATTTTTATCGACTATAGCTACATTTTACATTAGATACTACACAATCTTGTAAACATTTAAATTTAAAGAAACAATTCAATCGTTTTTCGTTAGAAAAGCTGATAAACAGAAGATATTTTTTGGTAAAATACAACTTATTTCTGCCGTGCTCAAAGATTTGAAATGCGATAATAAATGCAACTTTCTGTAATATGTATTTACTTTAAATTAAATTCACGCCGTCATTATTTTTCGTTGATGAATTGTCTAAACTCGAGTCTTTCAATTCAATTGGAACGAACTTTGTATAGTGAATGATAGGCTATTGCTGACATTTAGAATATGAAAGAAATGTTTGATCTGGTGAGGTTTCTTGTAGTATTTTTTATTGCTGAAACGCATTTTATTATACATGAACTTGTATTAACTTACATTTTTCCAAAGTACAACATTAAATGCTTTTATCATTTTCTTATAGCTCCATTAAAAGTGCGTATAGAGCCTCACTCCTTGGTGATGTTGACTGGAGGAACTGCAACATTAACATGTGTCGTTTCCGGTCATCCGGTGGATTCCATAGTGTGGATGAAAAACTTTCAGTCTTTAGAACCTGACGGTCGGACCTACTTCCGTTCACGCAAAGTTCTTCACATCAAAGCTGTCACAAGGTCTGACCAGGGGATGTATCAGTGCTTCGTCTTTAGTAATGGTAACAGTGTACAGGGAACAGCACAGCTTGTTGTCAGTGGTAGGTCTATGTAAACAGATATAGAGGGTGTTAGAAACTTTAAGTATTAAAAACAGACGTAAATTTTGAATTTTTGTTGTGACATTAGAACATACATTTAAAACCAATATGTTAGAGAATTATAGGAAAATTAGTGACTTCAATATACAAATATACATTCATATAAGAAAAAGTACTTTATTCTTTATTTTTATGTTACAAAGTACAAGTAGCTTTTAACTCTTCACAAGATGTAGTTCTTAATTCTCATAAATTACATATACTATTTTTGAAGTTTACAGTTTACCTAAACTAAGCAAGTATATTGTAACTATCCTTATATTTTACAAGCATAATTTTAAATGCTAGTTCTTAAAAAAAAAGAAGTAATACTCTGTTTACACTGGATAATAAACAATTTGCTACTGGAGAAAACTCAAGTGATCAGGGGTAATTTGATGATGTTGATTTTAAAAATGTAGTCAGAATTTGTTCATCACCTTTAGAGTTTCAGTTATTGTAATATCTCAATATTTTATCAGCACTATGTGAAATACAATGCAATCACCTCAGTGTAATAGATTTATGCTGTGAAACTAAATTTACTTGAACAGTTAATTGGGTGAAAGACATACATTTTTGATAACCTCAAACACTGACTGTATTGTATTGGTGTAAAATTCCAAATATATTGTTCATATATACTGTTTGTGCTCAACATAACTGTAGCGAATTGCACAACTTTTGCTTCATTCTCACGCTCACCTTCTCCTCCCGGGAATCGTGAACACCTCACCTGCTCACTTTGCTGGATCTGTTCGTTTGTAGTTGTAGCACAAAACTACACAATGTGCCATCTGTGCTCTGCTCACCACGGGTATAGAAACGCACTTTCTAGGGTTGTAAGTTCACAGACATATCGCTGTCCCACTGGGGAGCAGTTTGCTAGAACATTCAAGAAGTCGCTCAACTGAGTACATAAAGGGGCGGAGTCAGACGCCTCTCTCTCAATTGCCTTTCACTCACTCAGTTTGTTACTTCGTCTCGCTCCGCGCACAGTCAAAACAAAATCCCGATCTTGTTCATCGCACCATACTTTGTTTTTTTAAATCTTTTTAACTCTAGTTCTGTAAATATAAATTATTCGATATTTTTGTACAAAAATCACTCAAACAGTTTCTGTTACATTTGTACAAATCATACAACAGTTTCACCAAGGAAAAACATCACACACAAGGTAAAGGTAGCTTACTACCACTATTTTGGGTGTAAAATAGGTGACCAAGAAAAACATTGGGCTCCATATTTGTGTTGTACAGTTTGCACATCTGGCTTGATACAGTGGCTGAATAAGAATAGAGCAAGTATACCATTTGCAGTTTCCATGATATGGTGTGAGTCCAAAGACCATCTAACTGACTGTTATTTTTGCATGTCTAGTGTTTCTGGATATTCAGGCAAAACTAAACAATACATTAAGTATCCAGATATTGCAGCTGCAATGAAACCAGTACCTCACAGGGATGGTCTTCCAGTGCCACATCCACCAGCGAATTGGGAAACAGAAGAGTTATCTTACGAAGAAGAAAACGAATCATCTTCATCTTCTTCATCTAGGGGCCCGGCATGGCCAGGTGGATAAGACGCTCGACTCGCAATCTGAGAGTTGCGGGTTCGAATCCCCGTCCCACCAAACATGCTCGCCCTTTCAGCCGTGGGGGCGTTATAATGTGACGGTCAATCACACTATTCGTTGGTAAAAGAGTAGCCCAAGAGTTGGCGGTGGGTGGTGATGACTAGCTGCCTTCCCTCTAGTCATACACTGCAAAATTAGGGACGGCTAGCGCAGATAGCCCTCGTGTAGCTTTGCACGAAATTCAAAACCAACAAACGATATTTAATAATCTCATTTGGTAACGGTAAAAACAAAAAGCGTATCCATAAATTATCTGGACTATTAGTAGTACTTGAGTGAAACTAGCATATTATATCTCACAAGATTCTTACTTTCCAGATGATGTTGTTAAAATATCTTCATATTTTTCAAACTATATTATCTCAGGTCATCACATCCTCGCTAAAGGACGCAAAGATAAAATTTTCAAGGGGGATTTACGGATTATGAAGAGTAACCAGTTATTATCTTATTAGATTAGTATATTGGTCCTTCTTGCTGTTAGTTGTGTATTTTATACTTTATACTAGCGAGACGTGTAATTGGAATTCGTTGTCCTTTAACATGTAACGTCATAGGTGACAAATAGTAAAACGTGGGTTCAACAATTGTATTCTGATGTTTGTGTTGTTTCTTTTTCGTTAAGGAAAGTTTTGTTCTTTGATAAGATGTTTTTATACATTTATTTCATAGTTTTTTTTAGAAGATAACTATTTGGTCTATTTGTTAATCATTAGTGTCTTAGTTCACCTATTTCGAGATTATCATGAGTTGTTGGTTCAAACAACTAGATGGCGCAACGATCACATCTTATGTATATTGACGCCTAGTCGCTCCGAAACCTTTCCATTTGTTGTCACGTGACAGGATTTTCAATGGTTTAGATCGTTGGTGAAACAGTCTGTACTGTTCATTTTAATAACTTACTTTACTTTTATTTAGAAACACGAAATTAGATTACAAGTACGTCCATTTTTCCACAATTGTTTTCACAAAATGTTTTTTAGCACAAAGCTACAGAATGGACTATCTGTATTCTGTCAATTGTGGAGAAATCGGGCTCCGAATTTTGGCGTTGCAAGTCCGTCACTTTATCGTATACTTATTGGAGGACTTCACAGAAACTTCCAATCGTGGCCACCAGGTCTATATTGAGAGACATGAAAGAAATGATAGTTTGTGTTTAAGCGCAGTCACAAAATGGCTGTTTGAACCGTGCTCACACTAGGTATCAAAGCTCAATTTTTAGCATTATAAGGACTAGCAAGCTGGCTGGTTATTTTGCTAGGATCAGTTCAATGGGGAAATGAGTTCTTGGGAATGGATGGTTTACGTTTAAAAAGGGTAAAGGCTGGCTTGTTTGCAAGGACAATTAATTCAACTGTAAGGGTAACTTTAAACTAGGATTGGACACTGGAGAAGGCCAGAATAATGAAGAAAAATAAGATGTAGAAGAAAGTGTAGTTTGGGAACAAAGTATAAAAGTAGTTTTAATGGTAGGCTAAACTGTTATTATTGTAATGCTAGAAATATAAATAATAAAATGGATGACTTCACAGCACTGGTCGGAACAGAGGATTTTGATGTGACTGGAATAATTAAAACCAAGAACTTGATGACAAGGATTTATTTGAAATACACGGTAAGAGGAACAAAGTACTAAAAAGATGAGGATGGGTGATTTTATATGTAAAATGTGGATACTTCCTGTTCAGGTTGAAGATATCAAAACGAACAGCAATGAGGTCGAATCTGTTAGTTGTTATAAGGGAAGAAGGTTTTTAGATGGAAGTTGTTACAGACCACCAGGTGAAGCTGATGAGAAACTCTACAGTTAGATGAAGAAATCAGCTGTTTTGTTTACATGTTGTAAAGCCCAAAGCTACACAATGGGCTATTTGTGCTGTGCTTACCGCAGGTATGACAGAAGATTATAGAAGATCAAGGAAGTTGGGGAAACAGGAAATTAGGACATCAAAAAGGATGTATGAGAAATGGTTGGCTGAAAATGTAAAAATTAACAATAAGGATTTCTTTAAATACATTAAGTGCAAACAAAATGTTAGGATTGGGGGTAGGACCCTTGAGGGATGATAAAGCAAGGCTCATATCTGATGATTATGAGATGGCTAGGTTATTAAATTTTGCTTTTTCTTCGGTTTTTTACAAATGAAGATTTAAGAAGTATTGATATTAATTCTGAGCTTGTTACAAAATGGAGAAATTTAAAGAACGATAAGGATTTTGGAGGAGGTTAAAAATTGGATATGTGAGTCACTTACTTGAACAGTGTGTAGATACCAAATGAATGGAAGTTGGCTAATCTAAGACCTCTCTTCAAGTTGATAACAAATTGACCCAGTAATTATAGTCCTATTAGTCTTACATCAGTTGTGGGGAAAGTTTTGGAAAGTCTGTTAAAAGATGCTTTGCAAAACCATTTAACAAAGTTTAGAATTTTATTGGATAGTCAGCATGGTTTCACTAACGGAAAATCTTGTCTTACAAATCTTTTGACATTCTTTGAAAAGGTTCTGCTTATGCACATGATGGCAGGGTTATAGATTTGTTGTATCTGGATTTAGAGAAAGCATTTAATAAAGTGCCACATAAAAGTCTTGCTAAAACGTTTTATAGGTGTAACGGATTGGTTGGCTCGTTGAATAGAAAACTAGCTGGATGGAAGAATACAGAGAGTTGCAATAGGTGGAATTTAGTCAATCTGGATTCATATCACAAGTGGAGTATCTCGAGGCTCAGCATTAGAACATTTGCTCTTTTTTATAGACATCGATGACATAGATGAAATAATGGTCAATAAATTGTTAATATTCACCAATGATATTAATTAATGCTTTGGGTTATTTTGGCTGTGAAGAGGAGGATGCTGCTTTACGAATGAACTTGGATTATTTGGAAAGTTGGCTGAATAATGGCAAATAATTTTTGATTATAATAAATGCAATATAATGTATGTGGGATATCACGATTTGAGTTATGAGTATACTTTTGATGTGAATAACCTTATCGGTTTTATGGAAGAAAGGATCTTGGTTATCTGGATTATCAACCCCGCCATTTAAGCACTTTTTGTTGCTACCGGTAGGGTAAGTAGGGTTTTAGGTTGTATCTACAGAAATACTGAATTCAAATCTAAATAGGTTATAATGTTATTGTACAGATCATTGGTTAAACCACATTTGGAGTATTGTGTTCAGTCTTGGGCTCCTAATCTCAGAAATGACACTGAGTTGTTGGAAATAGTTCCGAGGAGAACTACTAGGATGAAACCTGGGATAGAAAGGTTATCTAGAAATAGAAAAATTAAAAATGATTTGATTGAGGTGCTTAAGATTGTTAAGGGAACGTTCATGCAGTATCTTTAATTTTGATATTTAATGTAAAGAATGGTAAAACAAGGGATAAGTTTTGACAGAGTAGCAGTCATCATCAGCAAAGACAGCTTAATTTTTCTAATAGGATGGTTGGCCTTTGGAATGGACTGCCTTCAGCTGTGATAGATGTAATTAATTTAAGTGAGTTTAAGGGTAGACTTGATATTTATTGTTTTATTTTAGAGTTTGGTACAGATGAACAAGTCCCTTACTGTCCTTACCGTTAAGCTACCGTGGGATTGGGGCATAATTTGTTTGTTTGTTTTTGAATTTCGCGCAAATCTACACGAGGGCTATCTGTCTCTAATTTAGCAGTGAAAGACTAGAGGGAAGGCAGCTAGTCATCACCACCCACAGCCAACTTTTGGACTACTCTTTCACCAACGAATAGTGGGATTGACCGTAACATTATAACACCCCCCACGGCTGAAAGGGCGAGCATGTTTGGTGGGACGGGGATTCGAACCCGCGACCCTCAGATTGTGAGTCGAGTGCCTTAACCAGCTGGCCATGCCGGGCCGGGGCATATATTAAAA